GAAGCACCAGATTGTCATAGCAAAGTCGGAATTGACCCTTTTTTTTTTTTTAGAAATAACTTTTGTGCACAGACAGCCTTGTACTCTTCTAGGTTAAAAAAACTGTCGTCCATAAAATGCGTTGCACAAATTCGAGCATCTGGGTTGTGCTGTTCTGTTGTAAATAAATCTTAACCAATGATTCCTAATTGCATCTACTTCCGGAAGGCCAAATAAAGTGCTTTTGCTTCCGCACTGAAACACACTGCACCTCCCTGACATGGCTGCATCAACACTACTGCTGTTCCTGAAACCACGCCTTCTTTCTTTGCGTGCACATTTGGGCGCCATTATGCTAATATTTCCACATAGTGACGTAGACATGTGGGGGCATGTTAGAACGAGCCGTTTTAGGTAGGCGTGGTTGACTCTTAACTTTTATAAAGAATATCTCTTTGGATTTGAGACTTTAGTCTTTGCAACTTTACAGATCTTCTTTATGCACCAAGAGCTTGTAACACTCCAAAGAGAAAGGAAAACTTGAAATGCATCATATGACCCCTTTAAGTCCTCCACAATGTGAGCATTTGCACAGCTTGTTTCGACAACACATGGCATTAAAAGAATCAAAGAGAGAACTAGTGTTCGTGTGTAGCTATGATGAAGGAGGGTGATTGTTGTCTTCAGCGTCTATCTCCATGTGTGAAATAATCTGTGGGAGCAGATGAATCTGTTTAACCCCAGCACATCCCTCCCTCCTTACAAGGATTAGACTGAATAATAGAAACTCTTCAGCACAGATAAACAAATTCTCATCACAATCCTTAGCAATTGTGTGAAATGTTCAATCTTACAAAAAAGTTTTGGTTAAATAGTGAATCCTCAGGCTTAAAACATCATTTGTAGATAAATATTAGATTTTTCTCTCTGTTTCTCGGTTTCTAAAAGATCAGGTGGCTAATTAATACTTGCTAATCTGAGGTAATAAAAACCACACTCCCAGGTGATTCAATGATCCCAAGTGTGACCCTTGCCAGCAGATTATGAGGCATCATGGAATACCCAAGTGAGGCCTGGCATGGAGAAAGTCTTGCTGGCACACATCTGGTTATTCACTACATGAGATACACAGCAACCTAAAGCCAAACAATCCTGATGACAGACCATGGAAAGTCACATTTATTTTTTAACAATTAAATTAATAATTTACTCAAAATTGAAAATTCTGCCATCATTTACTCACTCTCACGTTATTCCAAACCAAACCTGAATTACTTTCTTTCATCTGTGTAACACAAAAAAGAGACTGTTTTCTCATGCTCCATAATGGATACATCTGCTGAAGTCAAATCTTTTTTTAAATATTGATATTCAGTTTTTTTTTCAATTTTAGTATTTGAATATCAAATTAGTTTCCAAAGCGTTTTTTTCAAATGCCTAAGACTTATTTAACAGTTTTTATTTAACAATAACAACACTGCCTAGTTCTCTTTGGTGGGTTTATGAGAAAGGTAACAATGTTTTATTCATGAACAAAACATTCTTTTGAGTAATATCTTTCAACAGATTATTGAGTGCGCATGGCAGAAAAATGATTTAGACTTTGCATACTATGTGCAAATGAAGAATAAACATGCTAAATAAACATGTTAAAATATGCCAACTGGAATTGTAATTAAAAATTGTAGATTTGAGGATTATGAATGATGTAGTAGACATAGCACATTACATATATTAAAATGTAGCATAATTTAAAATTTGATGATGTGTCTATGGTATGTTCACAAGAATAATGTTTTAGTTACTGATTCATTGGCTTACCTGAACAGCTTTCTGGGATTGGATGTCTACAATGAGCAACCTGTTTAGCAAAGGCTGTGTGGCATAAATGAACTTGTCCTTCACATTGACGGCTGATGTCCACACACATTTCTGATCCTTCTCTCCCTCCACTTGTGGACAGACCTCCTCCTTCAGGAATAAGGTACAAAAAAAGGTTATCAAAACTGACTACACATAGAAATACTAAGGATTATTTGAGTGAAGGAATTTCAAATGTGGCTCTTCACGTAAAAGGAAACTATTAAGAACACTTCTGAGTTGAAGGTCAACAATGCTACTAAAATTTCAATGAAGCCACAAAAATAAATTAGTTCTTTAGAATAAATGAAACTATACAACTATACAATCAAACAGTATACGACTCTCTAGTGCCTGCCTCTAGGCCTTGTGGATGTGGACCGATAGTGGGCAGAAGTGTCATCATGGCCAAATGTCAGACAAACTCTGTCAAAATGTGAGCGGCTGTCAGGCCTGAGGCTGAATGTGCTGTGGTTAAAGAGGTGAGAGCTGCCTGATTGATGGCCACAGGTTGTGCAGAAGTGGGCATCTCCTGTGGTGATTCTGTTGACTGGGCTACTCAAGGGCTGTCGACGACAATCAAGACGGAGATACAGACAGATGTGACTGGATGCGTCTGGTCTAGCGAAACCTCTTACAAAACTCAAATAGAGTATTATTTGGCAAGAACCGCTGCCTTTTAAGCACATTTGGTTATTTTTAATGATCTAAAAGACTCAAAAAGTGTACTAAGAATGAAAATAAAACACCAACAAAAAATATTAAGAGAGTATATGGGTGCCACTTATCAAATTTGATTGTCCCAGACTTAAAAATACTTACCAAAAATACTAATTATATTAAAAAGTTAAAAATGTAAACAATAATATAATAACAACAACAATAAACAACATTAATAATTATACACCATTTCAGCCATGGTGGAGTTTGGAGTGTGACTGTTTGAGGTTTTGGACAGGTGTCTTTTATACTGATAATGAGTTCAAACAGATGCCATTAATACAGGTAACGAGTGGAGGACAGAGGAGCCTCTTAAAGAAGAAGTTACAGGTCTGTGAGAGCCAGAAATCTTGCTTGTTTGTAGGTGACCAAATACTTATTTTACCGAGGAATTTACCAATTAATTCTTTAAAAATCCTACAATGTGATTTTCTGGATTTTTTTTTTCTCATTTTGTCTCTCATAGTTGAGGTATACCTATGATGAAAATTACAGGCCTCTCTCATCTTTTTAAGTGGGAGAACTTGCACAATTGGTGGCTGACTAAATACTTTTTTGCCCCACTGTATATATATGTGACCATGGACCACAAAACCAGTCATAACGATCAATTGATTTATGGTCCAGGGTCACACACACACACACACACACACACACACACACACACATTTTAATGTATGTACATTTAAGTCATTTTAACATTGACTATTAAGTCAGCTGCCAAAAACTGCAACTGCAATTTGCAAGATCTTTAAAATGATCAGTGAATATTTAAAAAGGAGGGAAATACATGTGACAGTGATTTCCCACAAGCAAAACATAGGAAAAACATATCGTAATGTTCTCCAAATGTTCTTCCCCAGACAGAGTTTGCACCGGGGCTTCCCGTTAAGGCCTGGCATTTGATTGATGACCTAATAGAGGCATGCTGCCTCTCTGGAGGCTGGAAACTCAAGCTCTCACCTCCCTGAGCACCAAATAAACACAGCTGTCTCATCAGCATACCCAGCTCCAACGAAACAGCAGAACAGAGGAAGGCAATAATTTAATAGCTTGTGTAAATCTAGCAGCTGTCTATCAGAAAGAGCTGAGAAATGATACACAGAGTCAGGGAGGGATGTAAGCGATGTAAAGTGATGAAGGCGGAGCTCAACTGATGTCTGTGCTGAGGATCAAATTCCATGCGGTTAAATTACTGGTCATGTCAGGAGAGGAAGCTCAGTGCTGATGTTCATTTCAATATGTAACCAGTAGAATTAAGGAAATAAAACAGGAAAGAAGATGGAAACAGATGGAAACTCGGATGGAAAGAAGTAAGGAAGGAAGAATGGAAAGAAAGAAAGAAAGAAAGAAAGAAAGAAAGAAAAAGAAAGAAAGAAAGAAGAAAAGATAGAAAGAAAGAAGAAAAGATAGAAAGAAATACAAAAGGGAAGAAAGAAGGAAAGCAGGACGGAAGGGTGGGTGAATAGAATGAAGGGTGGATAGATGGATGTGTGATGGATGCATGGAAAGAATGAAAGAGAAAAGGAAGGAAGGATGGACTGATGGATGGATGGAAAGAATAAAAAAGAAATGGAAGAATGGATGGATGGACGGAAGGAAAGAAGGAAGGAAAGATGGATGGGTGAACAGAATGAAGGATGGATAGATGGATGATGATGAAACAATGAAAGAGAATGGGGAAAGGAAGGAAGGATAGATGATGAAAAGAAAGAAGAAATGGTGGATGGATGAAAAGAAAATGAGAAAAGGATGGATGGAAGAATGAATGAAAAAAGTAAGTAAGGAAGGATGGATAGGTGAACAATAAAGGATGACAGATGAAGGTAAGGATGAAAGGAAGAGTGAAAGAGAAAAGGGTGGATGGATTGATTGAATAAAAGAAAGAGAATGAAACGGAAGGAAGGAAGGAAAGAAAGAAAGAAATGGAAAGATGGATGGATAAAAAGAACAGCATACATCATACTGTATGTAGCCCTTCATGCAAACACCAGCAATCAATCATTTTTGTTGTAAAATAATTGAATAAATATACTGATAAAAAATAGCAGTCATAAACTTCACACTTTGCTTGTGGTTACAGTATGCAGGAGGGAAAACAGAGGCTTTATGTTGCACATTTACAAGTACTTAAACATTTATTTTATACAACAGCTCACCTGCAGGCCAAGAAGCTTCTCGCTGGGTTTGATGTGTCTCTGAATCTCACAGGCCACTGGCTGGATGACTTTAATACCGTCCTCATAAAACACATAGAACATGTTTCCAATCCCCAGACCTATAGTATCACATTGATGAGTTTGTTCAGGGCTCAAATCCCCCCAAAACAAGGGTATCTTCAACATTATCACTAAAACTATCATATACCTGAATCCAGACATACACTAGACATTAATATTGTATTAAAACACAATGCTTACTTACCTTCTTCTCTCCACAGGATGTTTGCCACTGTAAGAGAACACAAAGAAGACTCATGTGAGAGATATTTGCTGTACTCTACTCATCTAAAAGTTTAAAAATCCATCCCACCAGAGATACTGTACATACAATTGTCGATTTGTATATTTTTATTCCTTATTTACTTGTTCTATTTTTTTTTTATTATCTGTGTTTTTTTATTCTGTCACTGTCATTCTGTTACACTGTGGAAGCTTCTGTCACGAAAACAAATTCCTCATATGTGTAAACATACCTGGCAATAAAGCTCATTCTGATTCTGATTCTGATACAAGATGAACTCACACTTCTGGATATAAAAACCTCCCACAGATTATTGCAACAACATTTGTAATTTTTTTTCTATTGTGGTTTAATGCTGAGAGTTGTGTTTGATTTGGCCAAGTAATTATACTCTGCAACCTGAGGAGCTTATTGATTTGACTCGCTCATGTATAATCAATACTGTGTCAGCATTGCACATTGAGGTCGGCCTGCGGGAATTTATACACTCACGCACAGTCAACAACCACACTGTTCACACAGAGGAAGCAATGTACATTAGGGTGCAAGTCAAAGCTTATCTTTGCATTAAGCATGATTATTTACCCATAACTGCTGGAGCTGTATTACATTTTAAAACACTTAAACTTTGGAGATTGAGATCAATGCCTTTAACACCAAGCATT